ACCAGGGGCCCCCTAATTACATACATACAAGTCGGCAGTCACTAGTTGATTCCAGCAGGGACGCACCAGCATCGAGCCTGAGGATTCGATCCTCGTGTGGCCTGACGTGAAGGCGATGGCGCAGCTCAAGTTGAAGAAGCTGGCGCAACTGCTAGTTGGTGATGGGTACGGGAACCTTTCGAGCATCAGCTTCACTGGCACGAGGACCAAGTTGACCTAGGCCGGTTTTGACACCTTCGTCAACGCTGACTTTTGAGTATGCTCTGACCTCATCAGTCTCCGTCGTTTAGCTAAATGAAATTCCTTCGAGACTGAAGTAGGCCAATTGACGCGTTGGCGCGCCTCATAGGAAGTCCAGATGGTTCTCGTCAACATCTGGGACTGAGGTGACGTTGTCTCCAGCGAGATCGTTGATGGCAACAAAATAACCTATGTTATCAGTTCATCTTCCATGTCTGTAGTGATGAGCAATTCTTCTGCCGCAATAACGAAGTGGCATCTGTCTCTAATCAACTAGTGTCGCGCAAAGGTCCCCCAAACAACAGCAGCAAGAAATCAACCAGGGAATGTAAAGGGCTTGCACGAATCCGCACATTTTCGTACTATTTGCTATGCCTACATCTCACGTCCCTTGTGTTCTGCGTTGCGTGCTTGTAACGCCGTGGGAAGACGGACCGAGCGCTACACCTCTCCACTTGAAGTCAACGGACGCTGTAGACCGCTAATGTTTCTGGCGTCACAGCTGTTCTCACCAACAACGCAAGCGCTCTCTTTACTTATGTATTTCGCGACAGAGTGTTGAAATTCCTACGGCATCCAGAACTGTAATTCCCATGCCCATTATCTAATTAATTAGACGCCGATGCTGCCGCCGATGCTTCTGACGATGCTGGCCCTTCAACGCGACACAGCCGTATCAACTCTCGGCATTCACACTGCTTCGAAGCGTCACGAAGGCCATACCACTTGTGGCGAGAAATACGGGTGATGGCACCGGCAGAGTGTGGTTCCTCTCCCTCATCTTTCTCTCTGAAATGGCGCGCCATGGCTACCACTCTTCTCCTCTACTTATCCCAAATCGTCGCCAAGGCGATCAAGGAAGGCCGCCAGCCGTTCATGATAGCTCCTTTACCACGCTTCCTCACCTCCACAATCCACAATATCAGCCTCATCAGCTTCCATCGCGAACCTAGGCGGTTTGTTTTTGGACCGGGGACGAACCCTTGACCTCTGTCTCCCGCTCGAAGCCACCGCCACCACCGCACGTGGTCCGCCCCCGTCTGGCTGTCAGCTTTTGTCGATCGTCGCATGCGTTATGCTGCCAGCGCTTGGGTTAATTTTGTCCTCTTGAGGTTTCGGCCCGGTCGCAATCCTGGAGACCGCTTTGCCGCCTTCGTCTGGGTTATCGGCCACGCCCGCCCATTGCTTTATGTGGCTGTCGGTGGCAATATCAATATTCATCATTTCTTCATGTTTGTCCTCCTTGTTTCTGACCTGTCGATGCCATCTGCAAGGAGACCGCTGTCGCCTTGATAATCTGGAAAGCCCTGCTACAAGTGAAGACACTTCGACATTGGTGCCTCACTCCATCTCCACCGCTGGTTTCGACTTGTACCACCCACTTTGACGTTCTCGGATCCCATGGTGCCAGATTAAGGTGGCGTCTAAAGGACTTGGAGCATTGTAGACGCCATCCCCAACTATGTCTCTGGACTCTCGACGGCAATGATGATCTCTTCCCCGGCGCGGGCACCAGCCGCCGAGCTGTTCGCACACGCACCGACACTGAGACACCTCTTTGTATCGTAAGGGATCATTTTGGAATTCGCAGAGGCGACCCGCCATCACGTCTCAGATGTCGTCTTTGCATTATAGTATCTGGCTGAATGGATCACGCTGCATAATGTCAGTTACACAGAGCAGATATTCTCCCTACTGCCTAACCCTAGGGCATGTTGACTGTTTGTGATGAGATTCAATTGGGCCGGTGTGTCTTTGCGTCGCCAAAGCTTACCATTCGCTAGACATGCCTGTGGATTCTTTTATCCGACCATAACGTCAGACTTCACATTGTGAACCTTTCCCCCTCATCATACAGTGTCATCCACCCCTCGCCGATCTACGCCTTTCCTCCAGCTCCATTCGATGTTGTGTCCTCCTCGCTAGTAAAAGGTGCATGGCACATGCGAGGCTTTGAGTTTACAATTCTGTGGATGGGGATGGGAGGGAACATTTCAGTTGTGTGCATATTTAATCCCCACAGTTTTAATACTTGCGTGCTGGGGCGCCTCGATTCCCTGTAGTCCAGTGTCAGTCTGTCAGTTGGCAGGATTGATCGTGCTGGGGTCGTCACAAATGAGCAAGGCTTCTGAGGCTGAGAGCGTGGATGTAGTAGCAGCAGTTTCCCGGGCACAGAAATGACCACTTATTCTAGAAGGCACAGACACTAACCAGCCTGCTATGCGGCGCCGCTGCCACACACCGGCAGTACAGACCGTCGCGTCACCATGAGAGCAACGGCCCTCAGGCCCTTCCAGGTCTCTGCTTTGGTTTTGCAAGGTTGAAGGCAACCATCTACAAGTTTGCTTGACGTGCCCCACCCCCAGGTTACTCCCCATACTCTTCCAGCAGACTCGACTGGGAGGACTGTTCTTCCGGGGTTCCTCCTTACTCTCGGTGAAGCGAGATGCCAGAGATCTCGTCCAGTCTCCATACCACCGGAAGATCCTTGGTCACCCGACAACGGGACTCCAAATACTAGGCGACAATCAAACCGGATTACAAGGCAAGACAAAAGTCTACTCCATTTCATCTTCTAAGGATGCGAGGATGTTTTACCGTTTGTCTTTCTCACCCACGGGGGGTTACTGACGCCTGCTTCCAAGACTTAGCGGTAGGTCTAGGGTCCAACCCAGAGAGAAACATGAATGCGCGCGCTTCTTCGTTCTTATGACACTATTGGAGATTTAGGGGCAAGACACGCCAGTTGACACCACAAACAAGTACGGCGGTATCACGTGAGAAACAGGCCGCGGCATGAAAGACGATTCGGAAGATTGTGCAGCAGAACTTTCAGGGGCCCTCCATTATGGTCACATCCTCGACATCTACGACTGTTACAACGCAGTCTGCTTCAAAGTGGGAAGAAGAAGAGACGCTTCGATATCCCATCGATCTTGTAATAAATCATACCATCCCATGGTCTTTCGGACGCAGTGTGGCTGTTCGGGCGCAGTGTGGCTTTTCGGACACACCGTGGCTGTGCAGACGCAGTTAGACAGACGTAGCTAACATCTTCAGACGCAGCTGCCATCATGGTCCTTACCTGACTGAGTGCGTGCTCTGCTTATTCGGACGCACCCGAAATGCATGCGTCCAAGCTTCGGACGCAGCCATTTTGGCTGCGTCCGAAGGCGACCCACACACTAATTAAGGTATGCTCATGACTCTCCCTATTAACGGTGGCATGCGGGCCCCATAGCATCGACGCCGTCAAGGGAGCGGCGTTCCTAAATGTAATTATTGATAGAAAGCTGTCGCGTCTTGTGCGAGAGCTCAACCTCTATCTGACTCCTAACGCCTATATAATGCAAGTCTACAAAGTTCAAGTAGTCAATCATTGTTATGGTTCTCGGTTTCAGCCGGCCAGCGTATCTTTTAGGCGTTCTTCCTCTGTGTCGCCTCCCTCAACAGCCCGGTAACAAAACTCAGAGCTACTGCGAACGCCGAGCAGCCATATGCACCAAAAATGCTGCAACGAAAACACCGCAATCGTGCCCGTTGTCCTGCTAGGGGCATGGAATGCTAGAAAAAGAGCCTGCAAGGGTCCCTGCAAGGAACTTGGAGTCGGGCAAATAATTACGACAGAATTCGGCAAGTCGTCTCTTGGCCTCCTTGGTGTGTGGGGGGTGCCTCTAGCGGGCTGCAATAATTGGCCCGCCTATGTCGCGGTCCGGCACCGTCGCCAGGGGACATGTCGTTTTCATAATCATCTTCACTGTTGTCATCTATGCTGTCGGCGGCAAACCTTAGTGATTTAGCAAGGCTATCGAGGGCCTGGTCGTCGACGGTCTGGGTGCGGGGCTACTTGGTCGTGTTCCCGTCAAGCGGGGCTGTCAAGCCCGTCCTCGCAAACGCGCCGGCCCTTACGGTCAACTCGCCCCAGGCAGTGGGGTCCAAGGTAGTCATGGCGTGGTTGAATTGATCGACGGGCTTACTGTTAGTGGTCTTGCCGCGGACAATGCGTGTGGCCTCAGTGGCCTCGAAAGCTTGGGCGAAGGCGATGATATTGAAACTGGGTCCTCGGTCGTGGATGAGCTTCAGAGCACCGCATTCGTCTACGGCACGACTGGCGGCAATTTTAACGGCTACAAGGAAGAAAAAGGTACTCTTGGAGATGTCGTAGCGGTTGAATTTGGCTTGCATGCGGTGGCTGACTTCACTAGAGATTCACTCGGAGAGACTGGCGAGATCTTCGGACAGGGGCTCGTCGAGGATGAAAGCGAGCAGGGCGTGGCTGATTTAGCGCACCGCGAAGAAGAAAAAGCTGCAGTCTAGCACTTGAGACGCAAAGTATAAGTCTTTGCGCTGTGTTCTAAGTCAGTGCAAATCTGAAGCTATCTACCGGAGTCGGACTCTGTCGCAATGTTAAACTCGATATAAATCCTTCCTGAAAGATTGCAGGACTTATCACAGGCAGATTGCGCGAGACTTCCCAAGCAGTTGGCTGCTATGGTCTTCAGTCACCCTGTTGGAGCATAGGATACATGTATTTCAAGTAGGCCCCGAGTCGCATGTCTTGCCCAGCTTGGATTTTGGGATGGACTGGAATGGTCAGATAACTGGGAATTCGTAAGCCGCCGCATGATTCTTGCGACAGGCTCAACAGATAATTGATTCCCCAAGATATTTAACTCAGAACTTGCAGATATTTCAGTTAATAAATTGCCTCAGACAAAATGCAAGCCTAAGCATGGCTGGTTAGTCGCAGCGCCATACTCTCAAAGAAAGTTTACTATCCCCAGGCCGTCATTTTGAAACTCGTGTATCATGGTATCCCAGTCTACAAACTGTGCCCATTCATTCCAATCTGTCTCATGATTGTTGAAACCAGATAATATCCCCTCATTATCCTGGCCACCCGCAGATTCTTCGAGTCTCGAGAAAGACATCTGCTGGGGAGTCCTACCATTACTCGCGACGTTCCCGGCCTTATTCTCCTTCCGGCTCAGCGCCTTCGAGTAGAGGACAAGTAGGACGTTCCAATTCGACGTGGGTAGGAGACCGTCCTCTGTCTGACGACGTCTCACCTGCCGCATCATCTCCTCAACCACTATCCACGCCCTGTCGACGTGTGAACCGTCAGGCCGTGCGCATAGATGGCTGAGAACATAGAGCGTGAGGTGGTACTGGGGGTAGGCAAGCGTCAACCAGTGGAACGGTCGTAAAAGTTCGTCCTTGCCAAACGACATGCCCATCTCGAGGATCTCGACAGCTTCGAGAAGGTCCTGGTTAGTGGTGAAAGACTCGCTCAGCCACGGGTTGGGATGCTGAAGGGCAACCCACTGCTGACGCGAAATGAAGTCGATTTTACGGATGACGAAGCTTGAAGTGTGCATTGTGAGACGCTGGGCCGGGACAACGGGGCTGCATGCCCGAAGGAGTTGTCCCACTCGGCATCGCATGTCGTTGATGATCTGTAGCCTCAGCTCCTCTGTCGGCACTTCCAATGACGTCGAAGGTGCGATTTGCGTCAGCCGATGCCATGTGCGGGAGAATTCAATGCCAATCAGCTAGATAATCATTGGAGTCCACACCTCCCGTGCGGGTGGCAGTTCTTCCATATCCCTGTAGATATCGCCGTCGTCGAGATTGCGAGGCGGCTCGGCCTCAGCGATGAGGTTAAGACTGGATGTACTCTGGAGGCCGTAGTCTTCGGCTGTCTTGCCGTCCCGAACGATAAAGTACCACCACAGCCTTCGTCGTATCTCAGTTTCAAAAGGCGACAGACCTAGATTCTGGCCATCGCGGTGGAGACCAATAGACTGGGCAGCTCGTATAGCGAGGCCATATAGAGTCCAGACGCATCTTCCATGATTGTAAAGTCGCAGTCCTACCTGACAAAATCATTAGCTGGCTTCATGGGCCATCGGGGCGAGAGTGCACCAGGAGGCGCGGAAATTGGGCGCAGGATACCCACAAGATATATCCCAAGCGCTTTGAGTAACGTGATCGTCGGACGCTCGAGGAAGTTGGCATGCGCCAGAGCTTGCTCCAACCCTTTTCTAAATCGATGAAGCTTGAGTATTCTTTCCTCTTGACCGCGGCGGACGGCACCATCAGGGACAGCGACTGAGACGAAGTAGATGGCGAAACATAGCGCCAGATTTTCAGGTTTTGCACGATTGGGCTCGGCTATCGTATTGTAGACAGTCGCCTCATCGGTCGGAACGTGGAGAATCTTCGCATAAGGCTCGATGTTGTTGACGTAATTCGTCCATAGAAGGATTGCTCTTGACCTTTCGGGGTGCAATGACGACATCAAGTCGATGGGAAAAGGCTCAGAGATGATCCCTATCGGCACGAATGGTGATGGAGTCGTCAGAGGAGCGGACTGTGCTTCCGAAACTGACAAATACGAGCGGACATCGTGTTCCTGCGGCGGTGTCAGAACCAAGCCTGATGCTCACGCTTCAGCGAAGACATGCGGTCTGTGTACCAGTTTGATAATCTTGGAAAGGATCGCTTCATCAAAATAGCGGCTTGAAGAATCATGTCGGACCAAGACGTCCTCGCCAAAGCCACCTTGGGGTGTGGCCGGGCTATCGGGCTGGATGCAAACCCCCGCCGCCGTGACGAGAGTGGTTTCGAGCCCGGAGATGCGGCGCACAATGTCGGCCACGGTCGTCGCCTTGGCACGCCGGGATGGCTTCACTGAAGACGGGTAAACACAGGGAACTCCGCGACGACTGCATGCAGCGCATGGCTGTTTCCTGTTGCATCGTATCTTGCGCTGGTGACAGACGTTGCAGGATCGGTCGCGGATCCCCGGCGCGTCGGCTTCGGACCCCGAGGTAGAGCCTGCGTTGGCTACAGCGGTCATTTCTTGTGCTTCCATCCTCTTTCGACGTGGGATTTGTGCGAGATGAGGTTGATTGATGTCTGATTCCTGGTTCGGTCGCACAAGTGGTAGTTTCAGTTTTGAGTAGAACTCTCGGGCTTTCTTGCGGGCGACCCCGGTCCTCGGCGCCGCGTGCGGCGCCGAGGCCCACCTGAACTAGGTACCCGCGTCCGTGTCGCTGACCTAGCCGGGGTACCCCACTCGGCTTTTTTCCTCAGATTGCCATGTCGGAAAAACGTTCCGACAGGTTGCTACTCGCAACTGGACTGTTCTCAGTCAATCTGACGATCCGAGGTGGATGCCCAAAATTGTTCAGGCAAGATGATAAAGAGCATATATGTGCAACCACTTTTCCGTTCAGACCTGCTGAATCTGACCATCCTCATGCTCAGCATACAATGACTTGACAGTTTTTCAAAACTCGTTGCAAACATGATTCCAGGCCAGAAACCTCATGTGCTCATTATTGGAGCCGGAATCGGCGGCTTAACGCTGGCGCAGCTATTGCGAAAGCGCAAAATAAGCTTTGAAGTTTTCGAAAAGGATCCGCAGGCGAGGACGTCTGGTTGGTGTATCTCGCTACATTCCTGAGTAACACATCACACCCACACACCTTTTGAGGATTTGAAAGCGTCCAATAGAACTCTAACCAAGTTTCAATAGGATGTTGGAAGAGTTGCGGGCCTCGGCCCCAGACGACATGGCGCCATTGGAAACGACTAGTCACCTTGTCCCGTTCGACTTGCCAGCCCAGTCGGTGATATACCCAAGCAACGACCCCGATGTTCGCTTTGGGGCAACATCCAAGGGCCCCAACGACTTTCTGAGATGCAACCGCGAACGACTTCGGCAGTGGCTCAGCACCAATGTCACAGTAAACTTCAACAAGAGGCTTTCGTCGATTGAAGAAACGTCCGCTGGCGTCGCTGTACAGTTCCAGGACGGTAGCTCTGCCACCGGTGACATCGTGGTTGGTGCGGATGGCGTGCATAGCGCTGGTATGAATTCCCGGACCCGCAATCAGAGCATCTGAATTGTTTCTGACGCACTAATAGTGAGAAAGTACCTGTACAGCGGGGAACTTCCAAAGCATCTTCCACTTGGAGTGATCGGGGGCCAGCTCACCCTGAGCGGTCGGGACATGGAGATACAACTGGAACAGGGCCACTCCACCCACACCGTCTTTCTCCCGGAAGAGTCTGAAGACGCTGCGCCCAAGTTCATCACACTCTTCACTGCCATGGAGAAGGTCCACCCGTCTGGTGACGCGGGAGACTTCTACTGGGCTCTGACTTGGAGAGACGAGAACGCCGAGTCTGAGTCCTTTTGGACCAAGTCTGCATCCCAGGAGGACTTGCAAGAATTCGCCAAAAACCTCACCCGCAATATGCGACCGGAGTTCCGCGACGTCATCGAGCGCACAGCTGTCGATAGGATGCTGGGCAACCCCTTTCCACTCCGAACCTTCACGTGCCCCGAGCTGCGCGAAGGCCGAGTGACCTTGCTCGGCGATGCGGCGCACTGTATGCCCCCATGTAAGTGCCCAGTTAACCAAGTAATGCGCCTGAACTAATCTGTTCTTTGAAGTCGGGGGTCAAGGTGGAGTTCAGGCCATCATGGATGCGCTCCTCCTTGCGAAACGCATCGGAGAGATTGGCGATCAAGTCGGGAACGAGGACCCTATCAAGACGGTCTTGTCTCAGTATCAGGACGAGATGATTGCTCGTGGAAACGATGCCGTCTTGAAGAGCCTGGCTGTGTACGACCCGAACGCCAAAAGGTTTGCGTTTGACCGAAAGCCCGAGTCAGTGCCTAAAGAGCAAATTTCGTTGCAGCATCTCGCGAGAGTCTGAGGGCCCTGGAAGGCTGTGAGTGGTAACGAAAAGTCCGAGATGTGCAAAAGTCTTTTTTGAGTTGCTTGTATCCATAATGGATGTGCACAAAGGAGGGACATGAATTGGAATTGGGCGTGTTTTGTCAATCAGAAGAGTGATAAGGAATACAGCGGGAGGGGCAGATTTCTGAGAAGTAGTCCATTGAACTGCATGTTCTCGTCCAACAGCAAGAGATAGTAGCCACTAGCTAGTATTTTTGGAAGATTTGACTCCTTCAGCATTAGACGGATAAGTCTAAGCATAGAGATACTAGGTTTGAAGAAGCCATCAAGTGCTCGATTCTTCAAGCGACTTCAACCCAGGGAGCGTTGTACATGAGGGTTCCTCTGCGCAAGCCAGAGCCGACTGGTTCCGAACCCTTGAATTTGCTGACGGCGTCTATTTTTAACCGAGACGACTTCTGTTTTTCAAACTAAGCTAATAATGCCTGGAAACTGCGGCTGATGGCCTGTCCTGCGCCGCTGAGGTTAACACAAGCCATCTCAGATCGATTCATGGTCGAGTGTCGGGTCGCATTGTGGGGATGGCGCTCGGTGGGGTGCCAGCTGTGGCGGGCCGTGCGTCAGTGGCACCGTAAGCACGTGATGGGGCGTGTCAAGCGTGACGTGATGACATAATCAGCCGTTTTGTTCATCACGCGTAATTTTCAAAGCTGCAACTCCATCTCCATTCATCCTCTCTTTTTCCCATTGCATCAATGTAGGCAGAATCAGCACCAGGCCCGCCATCTGGACGAGGTAGCACGGACCACAACATTGTGACACAAAAACTTTTCTTAGTCATCCACTGAACTTCACAGCTACCAGGGAACGAGATTCCCCGTCTCGTTCGCCCGCGTCGCACTACGTCACGTCGCGTCGTATTGCACCTCGACTCCCGCGATAACGATGCCCACCCTTGACGAACAGCGAGCGACGTGTAAGTACAGAGATGGATCTGTGTTTCGTGACTTGTGGCTTCCCACAAATAAATTTGGTGTCAAGTCTCTGGAGTCATTTCCGCATAGTGTGGACCACCCCTTGTCGGGCGCCCCACACTCTCTCCCGTCCAACATCGCACCACGATGCATTCGCAGCATTGCGCGGAGAAGACCCAGTCCCGAGCCTTATTCGCGCTCTGGCAGTAGCGGAGTCGCTGTGCACTGCAGTCATATCGAACCAATTTCATCATCCCAACCGAATAAGTAGCTGTTGAATTCGCACGGGAGGTGAGACATTGTGCGGTCTCCTTCACTCCATTATCCATACGCTCCGTCCGGCATATTTTTGACCACAGCAAAAGTCACGATTTCAGCAAACAGCGCTCACTGATTTATCGTTAAGTCGCGACGTAGCGTGGGGTCAAAGATGCGGGCGTTGAGAGGCAGATGATGTTTCAGCTGTTGTTGGTTGCGGTCTCCACGATGCCCTGATGCTCATCTCGCATTCAACCCCGCTTTCTCTCCGATCTTAGCATCATCTCTTTTACATTAACAAGTCAGCTCTCCAAATGGCATCAGACCACTCTGGTCCTGGCGCCGTGGGAGTCATGCTTGTCAATCGCCCCAACCAACCCACCTGATTAAGAAGATCAAGCCATCATCCTCGACGCACGGGCACCTGTTGATGAAGACCAACGCCAGGATGAGAAATGCAAGGCGTTGCAATTTACTTCGGCGCTTGCTTCATCAAGATCGGAGAGTGAAGCAGAAGTACACTGTCTACCGTGGACAAAACTGCACCCCTGCATCCATCTCGTCGCCACAGCTTAACAGCCTGACTCATGGCATGAAGCTCGCGCATCATGTACGCGACCATGCCGAAGGCGACAATGTAGATCAGGTACGTGACGATCTGCAGCGCGCCGTGCACCCGCAGCAAGTCGTAGATGCTCGCAACAAGGATCAGCATACTGCCTTCGAGGGCCCGGGCGACGCAGACCAGGCCGACGAGGTCACTGAGCTGTCGAACGTTTCACCGCGATGATGACTATCGAGGTCTTGAACTTTTCCTTGGAGAGTTTAGGGGAGGGATCAACAACTGGCGGAGCTATTTCTCAGCAGTTTGAGGATCTTCTGATCGCCTGGAGCTTGGGAGTACCAGAAGTTGGAGTCCCTGAAGACGACCTTGCCGGCATCAACAACGCTCTTGGCCGTATGTGACGGAGAATGTCGCGACCGATGATCTGGTACATTGCTTTCATAGTCTCGGGGCGAAGACGGACACCAATATCCTCGCCCGACGTCTTCATCCTCCACCCCCCGACGTGCGTACTGCAGAAGGAGTAGGTCCAGCGCGTCGTCATCTCCGGCCAGACCGGCGGCGTCATCGACAAAGCAGTTCTGGCCATTGCTTTATTCAGAAACCTGCACGACGACTTCGCCCTAAAGCCCGAAACACCCCACTCGTCGAGACCCACAAGTTTGGGGCGAGAGCAGTCTCCCAGCCAGCCGCAGCAAACGCTTCTGTGGAATTTGTGGGATGCTGAAAGGGCGAGCCATTGTTCTTGTTGTCCACCCATTCGAGAAAGCGGATTCAGCAAAGCTTCTTGGGCCGACGTAGGAACTCTTCTGGATTATTTAAGAAAAATAGAGGCATAGTTGGGATATGCAGTCGTAACAAAAGAGGTACTCATGCCACTCAAGAGCAAAGTCTACGTTCTTAGCCTCCAGGCACAGACCGCAGCGACGCGTTTGAACAATCTTTCTTCCCGTCTTATTTTATTCTTCGCAGTTTACCGCCCGGAGGCGCACCTTGTTGACTGCCGCATGACTCTCACGGGGAAATATTCGAGGGCCAGCATGGCAGAGAAACCTCTATGGCTACCTATGGGGGTATATGAAGAGAGCGCGTTTGAACAATAGAGACCACTAGTGGAGGAGATAGAACCCCATCCCTGACTGTCATATATGCGGAGCGACTCGGGGATGCGATTTGGTGCAGGAGAACCTTCCCTTAAGCATGCATTCAATTCGGAGCCAGACATATCCTACATCAATAACAGGTTTTCGACGCCTATGGACATACCCCCGTCCGAAACCCTTACAACACCAGGGCATTCTTTCTCAAGCTCTCAGGCCCCTGTTCCAGTTTCAGTCCGTGAGGATCC